CACAGAACCCAAGAATGGACTAACAGTTACCAAAGGGAAAGGGACTGGGGAGGGTGGGTGGGAAGGGACGGATAAGGGGAGAAAGGGACATTATGATTAGCAGACATAATGTAGGGGGGTGGGCACGGGGAGGGCTGTATAACACACAGAAGACAAGCAGTGATTCTATAACATCTTACTATGCTGATGGACAGTGACTGTAATGGGGTACGTGGTGGGGACTTGATGATGGGGGGAGTCTTGTAACCATAATGTTGCTCATGTAATTGTAGATTAATGATACCAAAATAAAAATAAATAAATAAGAGCAATGATTTTAAACTCTTTCAAAATTTCCCCCAAGACAATTATTTAAAACAAACAACTGCATGTTCCTTATTTATATTTTAGTGATTGTATTTAATGTTCAAATTACACTTTGCTCTTCCCAGGTCATCCAGAAATTTATCCATTATTGTTAACTACCAAGACCCAGGAAATATTTAACTGTCAAATAGATGAAGATATCACAGATGAGCAACCTTATATACTTATCAAAAAAGAAGCTATTTTTGCAGACTTTGAAAACAGAGGTGCAATATCTGACTTCCACCCAGTCAAAAAAATTATCCAGGTAAGTCTAACATCCCTCTTTATTTTTCAGTCTTACCTCAAGAGGTTCCTGGTACATAATAACAAAAGTTGGAGGGACTTTTTAGATCAAAACTGGCATTCCCCTATTTCCTCGGGCGTATGCTATTACACCTCCTTTGAAATCCTGTTTGATGATCCTTTGTGAAAAGTGAACTCCTATCAGTGACTGTTTTATTCTACATACAGAAAAGCTCATCCTTGCCCACCTTTAACTGGAATAGGAATCTACCCTTATTTTTTCCATACTGCTTTAATTATTTACTGATTTGTCTCTGAACATGCTACAGAACACAACACTAAATAAAAGGCATGCTTTTTTTTCTATTAGAAATAAAATTACATACTAAATTTCAATGGGCCCACTGTGTTTTAAGAATTTTTTTAAGTTAATAAAATAATTTTGGAATTTAGGGTTTTAAACCATTGCTTTGCTCCATGGCTATCTTTTATGATTGATTGATCAAGGAATATCAATTTTGTGTTGATGTCTGACTAAACTGAACGACCATTGAACATTTATCTTATTTTCTGATAATATTCCTGTAGGAATATCCTGGAGATGAGCTTCTGGTCGTTTATGACAAAGACTTCAAATATGGACTTAACTTTTACCTTATTGGAACTGAAGAGGGCAAGGAAAACTATTTAAATGTAAGCACACCCTAAGCTCTTGCACTTTGTCATTGTCAGAAGGAAGCAGTACTTCTGGAGGAGAACTAGGTGTGTTTATGATTATTCCTGTTCAACAGATTATTCTGTTTCCCTGGGACATAGATCTGGTCTGGCCCTAGAGTTGGTGATCAGTAAATGTGGGAAGAACTCAATCAGAGATGTCGGGGTAGCAGATACTTAACTTATTTGCCCTTCATTGACCCCGTGAAAGCAGGAACAGTGAATCAGAAGTATGGCTACTCTAGGGCACTGCTTGGCCTCTGTTCCTGGGTCTCCTCTTGCGCCCTCCATGACTTTGGGTAAGTGGTTGAACCAATCACCTGCAAAACTCTGGCATCAAGAGTATCCACTTCCAGGGCTGCTGTGAAGATTAAATGAGCTGATACAAGGTAAAGCCCTTTGTATAGTACCTGGCACGACACTAGGTGTTCCATAGGTGTTTGCTACGATTATTTAAAAGCAAAAATTTAAAAGGAGAGTTCCTACGCAATTGAGGGGGGGATGGGGTGTCAAAGATAAGCAGAAAATTTTAAATGGTATTTTCCAAGGAAAGGAAATTAGTTCACCTTTGAGATGCTGCATTCAAAGTGACTGTGAAAGGGTGCAGATTTCAGAGCCTTGCCTTTCAATTGACATCCCCACGGGGAGTTTTGTCAAACTGATGGAGACCGAGGAGTTTGGGTGGTTTTCCAATATGCAACAACAAAAAAAGGAAAGACCAAGAACTGTGAAATGCCTAGCACTTTTTAAATTGAAAATAATCTTTCACTTAGCCTCAACATTTTCAATTTTATTTTTATGGTTGTTTTTCTCTGTGTTTAAAATTTTTTATTTCAATGGAATATTTCAAATACATAGAAAAGAAAATATTATAACAATATCTACACAATCACCACCCAGAACTAGTAAATGTTATCTTATCATATTTACCTCAAATTTAAAAAAATAAAAATAAAATATGACCGATAATGTTCCACTCGCTCTTGTATCCTGTCTAATTCCATTTCTTCATTCCTCTCTATAAAAATCCATTATTGAAAAGTTGTTATATATCTTTCCTGTCCATGGTGTTATAATTTTACCATATATGTATGTATTTTATTAATGTAAAATTATGTTTTATACATAAATAATGGGTTTTATTAATGTAAAATTCACATGAAGTTATGCATATCATTCTGTAACTTCTGTTTTTCACTGAATTATAAAATTCTAGGATCTGGCCATCTCAATCCACTTAGCTATCACATATACGGAGACTGAGTTTGTTCATGACAACTGCTTTATTGGATTTTATTTTATGATTATACCACAATGAATCAGTCCATTCACCTACTGATACTCATTTGGTTGGTAGTAAATAAATTTCATTGTGGAGATGTATCTTCTTGGTTTAAAAACGTCCAACTCATGATTTGATTCATATCATATTTATTCATACTTATACTCCTCTTATCAAAGAACATTTCATCAAATCAGAAAAAACTGGGTTTATATTGTATCGTGTTAGCATTCCACATAGAGATGTGCAGTGAATGCTTTTTTTTATCATTTATCATTTCCCTTTTTCCTCTTCCATCTTTTACTTCTTTCATCCTCTTTGTATAGCCTTGATATCTTTCTTTTGTGTTCTTTATTCTTCCTTATTTTGCTCAGTTTCCTTCTCCTAACTGAAAAATGAACCAGCAAAGAAGAAAAATAAGGAAGTGCTTAATGAGTTTATATAAAAGTGTAGTGCAAAATATACACATATAGCTATAACCTAATTCTGGTCATATATTTTAGAATGATATGTATTCTCCTCTAGGCCCCACAAGTACCAGAAGAACAGGAAGAATATAAAGAGCACATTCCTGAAGACTTATTTGTTTATAAGCCACCTATCTCTAAACCATGGGTTTCTTTGGGCAGTGAAAAAGAAATTGAGGAAGAATCAGTTAAAGAATCTACAAAGCAGGTCAGAAGCTTGCATATGATCTCTAGTCATTCCCACCCTGTGGCTGGACAGCGCTTATTCCTGAGAGACCCTTAAGCTTTGCTGTATTTACTATGAAAATGTGGTTTTTCTTTTGATAGAAGAATGGGTCTTAGGTGGGGTTAAGGGTTGACTTGTGTCCCCCTGAAAAGATAAGTTGAAGTCCTAATCCCTAGTACCTCAGAATGTGACCCTGTTAGGAAATGGAGGGCACTAATCTAATATGACTGAGGTCCTTATAAAAAAGATGGTCATATGAAGACAGACACGGGAGAATACCATGTGAGGAGGGAGGCAAGGGATGGGAGGGATGTATCCACAAGCCAAGGAACACCAGGACTTCTCATCATCAGAAGTAGGAGACAGTCAAGGAACAGATTCTCCCTCAGAGTCCTCAGAAGGAACCAACCTCCAAACACCTTAATCTCGGACTAGTAGTCTCCACAACTGTGACAGAATGGGTTACTGCTGTTTAAGCTTCACAGTGTGTGGTACTTGGCTACAGCAGCCCCAGAAAACAGACACAGCAGCATTCCCAGAGCAGCCTGCAGGAGGATTTGTCTGTGAGAAATTTATCATGAAAAAAAAAAATAGGTAAAGTAGCAGGACAGGGACTTACTGAAGCCCTGCAGGGGTGCAAAAGTCTGGGAGAGAGAAGACTTCAGGCTGAACCCCTACAGGAATTCTGGAGAAAAACCTGAGCTGTCCCTGACAGAAACAAAAGAGATGGGCTTCCATGTGTCTCCTGCCAGTCCATCAGTGGCCAGGATATAAACTGCCAGTCACTTCCTGTTCTTTGTACCTATGAGCAAGTGGTCCCTGTAACCCTGAAGCAGTGCTGCACGGAGCAGCAGGCTGTGGCCACAGGAATGGAAAGCACACTGAGCTGGAGGGGTGAACAGAAAGTATACAAAGAGATCTGAGAGGATCTGGGCAGAGCACCAGGTTGTCTACCATACATCCATTTTTTCCCCAGGGACTTGATTATGTTTCCTTTACTGCTTATATGTGTTACAGATTACGTATATGATTTCTCGACAAAGGAGTGAATTTGGTGCACCAATTCACTTCAGTGACCAGAATGCTTCCAGTGTAAAAGATGCCTATACTGAATGTACAGCCTACCCAGATAAAAATTTTACCCTTAAACAACTTGAGAAAGATGTTGGCATGCAAGCAGTTCCCAAAGTCAAGGACACAAGTACTCAGACAAGATGGTAAGTATGTGATGGGTTTATATATTCTCAAAGTCAATTGCAGTAAAATCTAGCAACATCCATATTATGTTGGGAAATCTTTATTATAAATAGGAATGGATTGGCAATGACAACATAGATCTCTGCAGACTTCAATTCAAGAAGGTCTAATTACACTCAACAATGTCCTTTAAAATCTTAGTAGGAAAATGAGATACAAGTATGTAGACTATAAACACTATGAAGTGAGAAAATGGTGTTGTTAATCATTACAGTACTGCTTTCAGGGGAGGGGCTTTGGTCACCTCTCACCTGGAATATTGCCACTGCCTCCGAACTGCTCTACTTTAGCACTTAAGTGAGCATCGTTACCTGTCAAATCAGATTGTGGTACATCACTGCCAGAATCTTTTCTTCGGCTCTCCATCACATCCAAAGCCCTTAGGATGGCATATAAGGCCTTCCTTCCTCCATGACAAGGCTCTGCATGCCACTCTGGCCTTGTCACCCTGCTCCTGAACAAGCCCTCTGTGCTCCTGCCCCTGAACTGCTCCAAGAATACCTGCTTTTTCACTTCTCCCAGCCTTTGTCCATGTTGTTCCTCTGCATAAAATGCCTTTCCACCTGAGGAATCTTTTCACCCTTTAAGTTCCAGTTCAGTGACCCCTCCTCTGTGATTTCCTGGAAACCCCTGATTGAAACTGATCCCTCCCTCCTTTGGGTCCCCATTAGAGCTTAGAAGTATCTTTTTCATAGCACCCATGACCATTCTGTGCTCATCTACTTACCTGTCTGCCTGCCTTAGATCCAGAGCACTGAGCCTACAAGCCACATCATTTGGCACTGGCAAGCTATTAATTAAAATGTATCCAGTGAAAGGATCGATTTGAAATGGATTGCTAAGGGAATGCTTTGGGGACTTGAGCTAGGCACTAAATCTGAAGATAAATTAGCTAAGCTATGCACTTTATTTGGGATTTCTAAAAAACTTTTTATTTTTAAATAATTTTAGATTTATGTATGATAAGCCGTGAAGGTTGAATGATTCAGAGACAGAGAAAGGACAAACAACCCAGACTTTTTAAACTACTGAACAGTTCAAAGAGGTGGGAAAAACCAGGTTTGCAAGGGACCATGAGACCAGCCTGGGTAGAGCAGGAGTCGTAGCGGGTGGACAGAGAAGTGAGTTTTCGGTGGCAGACAGTCAGGGACTTGGGCGAGGTCGGAAGCAAGGGAGAGGCATGATGGCAAGACTGTTGAACTCAGGTGGGCCGGGCAGTCTGTACGGAAAAACAGAGGGAAAAGCGCTGAAGTTGAGGTGATTGGCCAAAGAGCAGTCTGTAATAATTAAACCAGGTAAAATGTGACCAATGTCTAAAATAAGGTGGTAGTAGTAAACAAAGACAGGGTGGAAAGGAGACGTGGGAAAAATGATGCTCAAACTCTCATCATTAAAACAAACTAAAACCAACGTTTTTTTTTTTTTTTTACCTCCCCTGCTATTACATTCTTTCTGTGCTTTTCTTTATAAGAAAGCCCCTCACCGCAGTTGCCTGCATTCTCTGCTTCCATTTTCTCTTCGGTCATTCTGCCTTGAGCCCACTCGACTAACCAGTTCACTGAAGACCTCCGGTAGTCCGATGGCCTAATCCAGTTTTCAGACCTTTTCTTTCTCCTCTTCTCAGCAGTATTTAACATGGTTGACAATTTCTCTTAACACACTTTGTCCGCTTTAGCTTATATGGGAAACATTCATTGTCTCCCTCCTAACTCACCGGCCGCTCCCCGCTCCTTCTCAGTTTCTGTTCCTGGACCCCCTCTTCCCTACTTCTAAGTATTAGAGGACCCCAAGGCTAACTCCTTTTGATGTTTTCTCTAACTACTTAATCCCGCGGTGAATATATCCAGTCTTAGGGGGTTACCTATTATCACTTACTCATCTGCTTACTCAGATGCCTAATAGGAGTTACACATTTAACATGCCCAACAACAAACTTTTGATTCGTACCTGCAAATCTGCAACTCCCTGAATCTTCCCCACCTCTGTGAATGGCAATGATAGTCTTATAATTACTCAGACCCAAAACCTTGGATTTTGTTGGTTCCTCTTTAAATATCTTCAAAATGCAGCTTAGCAATGTGGGGGGACTGTGATGCCTGCTCCCCATGCTGCCAAAAATTGAGTATAACTTTTGACTCTCCAGAAACTTTACTAATAGCCTGCTGTTGACCAGAAGCCTTACCAATTATAGTCAATTAATACATATTTTATAGTTGTATGTATTATATACTGTTTTCTTACAATAAAGTAAGCTAGGGAAAAGAAAGTATTTTTTTCAAATTGTTGCAAATCTCAAAAAAATTTCCAATATATTTATGAAAAACGTCTGTGTATGAGTGGACCCATGCAGCTCAAACCCTAGCTGTTCAAGGGTCACCTCTATACCCACTGCTATCACTCTGGACCAAGCCAGCACTGTCTCTGATTCAATGCCTCCTAACTGGCCTTCTACTATCCATCAAGAAACTTTACTAATAGCCTGCTGTTGACCAGAAGCCTTACCAATTATAGTCAATTAATACATATTTTATAGTTGTATGTATTATATACTGTTTTCTTACAATAAAGTAAGCTAGGGAAAAGAAAGTATTTTTTTCAAATTGTTGCAAATCTCAAAAAAATTTCCAATATATTTATGAAAAACGTCTGTGTATGAGTGGACCCATGCAGCTCAAACCCTAGCTGTTCAAGGGTCACCTCTATACCCACTGCTATCACTCTGGACCAAGCCAGCACTGTCTCTGATTCAATGCCTCCTAACTGGCCTTCTACTATCCATCCTTTCCCTCCTACATTCTGTCCTCCATAGAAGAGACAGGGTAATTCCATTAAAATGTAAGTCTGATCATGTCCCCCATCAAAAACCTCCAAAGACCTCCCATCCTGAAGGACACACAAGGCTTCATGTGGTCTGGATCACCTTTGCCCCTCTGCCCTCATTTCCCACATCTACTCTGGCTTGTCCATTCCAGCCACACTGTCTTCCTTGTTTCTAAAACCACCAAACATACTCATACCCAATGTGTTTATGCTTACAGTTTTTCTATATAGGCTGCTCTTCCCCAGATATCCTAGGGCTCCATTCCGCCTTCATTCAGGTTTCTGCCTAAATGAGGCATTCTCTGACACTCCTGTATAAAAGCAACAAGCCCCATTACTGTCTCGTACTCTATTTTTCTTCATGTTACTGTCATCACTTGATATATATTTGTTGTTTTCTTTCTTCTATCACCTTCTCCCCACCCCCATATAAAACTTAAGCTGCATGAAGCAGGAATTTTGTCTATACTGCTTATTTCCATATCCTCAGCTTCTAGGACATTCCCTGGTACATATTTATTAAATGGAATGGGAAAGGGAAGGAAAGGAGGAAGTTATAAAGTTAAGGAAGAAAGTATAGAATAGATTACTGACTTGAGTTCAGTGTTAGAAGAGCCATGAAAGATAGAGTGATTAGGAGAAACAGGGTCAGCAGTGCAGGGTGTCATACAAAACGTGGCTTTCAGATCTATGTAAGCCAATGAGAGTGCAGTGCTAAGGTCAGGGCACATAGACATTGATGCCAGGAGGCAGGACAACAAATGAGTCAGAAACGAGGAGGCAGGTTAACAGACAGGCCAGAACCAAAGGAGGTAAAAGGAAAGAAGGACTGGTAGTCAAATCTTGGCAGAGAATTAGAACATCAAAGATCTATAAACACTAGGAAGTGAGGGTGAGACAGGAAAGACAGATGGAGTAAATTAGTACCAAAGAAAGGTATGGAGACATGTTTTTAAGCCAAGCCAGCCAGAAACTTCTATGTTCCTGCAGGGTAAAGAAAAGTGACAAGAATGAATCTAGACAGGGTAGACTCAGAAAATGACAGTGAACTTCTGCTAGCAGGGACCCCAACCACAGGACTTGAGAATGAGTAGGCTCTCAAATGAGTGTTGGCTGATAATAATGGATGGTTGTTCCTATATAGATGGAGTGAATAGCTAAGAAGTAAGGACAAGTCTTAACCCATAAAAATAAGAAAAAAAAAAGGATCGAAGGAAACTCAGATGGTTGAAATCTAGGTGACAGAGAATGTTGACACTCCTTATGAAGATTAGGGAATTGGGAAGGGCAGCTGGTCTAAGGAGGAGAAGTCCAAACAAATCAAAGATGAGATTATGAAAGAAACTTCAGTGAAAGTGGGTGCTTACAGGGCTCTTACCACATACCAAGCATTCTAAGCCCTTTGCACACATCTACTGAATTGATTCCCACAACTGCCCTCTGATATAAGCATTACCCCCATTTTACAAATAAAGAAACTGAGGCAAAGAAAATTAAAAATGAAAGCCCAATGTTTGGAACATAATTTGAATTAGAAGCAATAATGAATAGATTTGTTGAGAAATACCAAAACAAATCACGCTTACAAAATAACAGTGACTCTTCATCATGTTGTTATTGATAAACGTGTCAGGTGCCATACATTTTCTTACTTAATCCTACCTGGAGGGTACTACTGTGGGATAGAAATTAAAAAGTGAAGCTAAGATTTGAACCCAAGTCTCTCTGCTTCCCATACCAACATTTTCCAATCACTTGCCTTCTACTATGGATACTGATCTAGGTAGGGAGAAAAGAATGAATTGTTTATTAGATATAAACAAAATTCCTTTTGCCCTTCTGTTTGATTATTCTCCATGTAATATATTTGCATCTTGCAGAGATGTTTTACTGACATTTGTTTAGTAAACATAGATTAAATGCAATCTTATTTTTTTGAGCGCTTAAAATGTGCTTGGCTGTTCTGCAAACTTTGCACATATTAACACATTCAATCCTTATAATGACTCTATGAGCTAGATTCCTTAAGGATTTCATTTACAGATGAAAAAACTGGCACAGAGAAGTTAAATAATTCTCAGGGTCATAAAGCGAGTGATAGACCCAGGCTCCAAAGCCTGCCGGCCGTTTGTGGGGGTGTACATCCAGTGACTGTGCCGTAGGGCCTTCCACCCTGAAGCCTGAGATGAAGGAGCTCCCCCAGCCTAGTGGGTGAGGTCGACGGAGCCCAGTACAGTGCAGCAGGACGTGTTCACGGGTGGAAGTGAGTGCTGAGAGCAGACTGGATGGAACAAGCCTTCTTCCAGACATTGTGTCACCATCATTGCTAAAGTGTAAATTGTTCCTAGGCAGAGTTTCTCAGTCTCAACATTATTGACATTGTGGGCTGGTTAATTCTGTTGTAGGAGGAATGTCCTATATATTGAAGTGTACTTAACAGCATCCCTGGACTCTACCCACTAGATGCCAAAATGCTACATCCAAAGACGTTTCCAGACATTGTCAAATATTCCTACATTGTGGGTGGGGAAGAATTGCACTGGTTAAGAAACACTGATTTAACAAAATGAAGAGAGAATGATAAGCAAATGTGGTAAAACATTAATAATTGATGAATCCCTGGGTGAAGAGTGTATGGGAATTCCTTATACCCTTCTTACAATTTTTCTATAATTTATAACATAAGAGTTTGTTGATTATGTTGGAGAGAAATACATGAATATTTTGAAAAATAATATCAATTGTCCAGGATAAAGAAAAAAATTCAGTGCACAGAACTTAAATATAAAATAACATCCTATTATTGTCATGGACACATATCTTTGACCTGTTGTGAGCTATATTTGCTTTTCTTTGATCTGACTTTTGGTATTTGCTTTTCTTTTAATGTATTAGGCCATATCCCAAAAATGCTACTACACAATATTATCCAAGAGAATTTTCAGACGGGGAAAAGGAGACACTCGGACAATCAAAGTCTTTGATTGACTTTCTTAACAATGCGTCCATAAGGTAACAACTTTGTATGAAACTTTAAAAATAAAAAAAAGTGTATGTTTAGTTATAATGATAGGTCTTAAAAACAACTCATTCTATGGTGTCTAGATAGTGTGGAGATAGTTATCAGATATGCATGAGCATATTGCACTCCCCACAGATTAGCAGTCTATCTTTCCCTTCCATCGCTGGGCAACATCCTAGGCCTCCCAAGCTGGGGCCACACCGAACAGTGTGAGCCTGGAAGATATATACAGTTGAGTGTGTGAGGATGTTTTCCTAATGGCAAATTAACAACTACTTATTTACCATGATTTCTCCTACTTCAGTGTTTTTTCCATTCCTCACTCCCCTTCCTAGCTTCTTTACAGGATTTTATAGCACTTTTATGGAATTACTTTTAAAGGTGAGGATGCTTTGAATGGTGAGGATGATCATTATAATGGTGATGGAAATTTACAAAAATATCTTTGTAAATGAGAACCTGAAGTCAATTCAGATGGACTTTTTGTATGTCACTCTTCTCCCTAATTCCTGTGTTGTTGCCACTCTTAGTGGATCTGAGACAGAGGTCTCTTCAAAACACCCCCTACCCTGTACTAGGACCCTGGTACTAGGTTTCCAAACCAGTGAAAGAGCTGGACAAAATTTCATCAAGTTGATAATAGAGTTCAGGGAAGTGGAGCCAATGATGGACAGATCTGCCAGTTGTAACCACTAGGTTGGTTTCCATTTCTTTCCAAAATTAAAGTGTTGGTGGTCAAGTTCACATACAGCCCATGTTCAACTTTTATACTTTTATTTTTATTTTTAAGAAAACATTTGTCTTGCCAGGGTTTCAGCCCTGGACAAATTCACTATGGATTCAATGTGACCAAAGAAATGACAGTAGAACATTCTTGGGGTGAAAGAGTTATACCCAACTTTATTCCCACTGTGGCAGGTCAATCACTAGAATCCCATCCACTCAAAGTGAGCCTGCATGCAGCAAACTGGTCTCTGCCTCTAGGCCGCTCTACCTGTGCAGCTGTCTCAGTCTCTGTCCTTGGCACTGCCTTTGCTCTACTCTCCTGCAGCCTTACAGCTGTGCTATTGTGGTACCCAGAACACTGGGTGGAGCTCTTTACATAGAGCCAATAACAATGCATGCCCACACATGTGTAGTGAGCTAGCCAACCAGGGCCAGGTGAGAATCCTGGCCACAGGAACCTCCACTTTATCCACAATGTATAAATATGTTTACTGTGGGTCAAGGTTTTTAGAAGTTTGTGAAGTTTTTTAGAAGATGGAACAAAAAGAGCAAGATAGATATTGCATCAACTCCTGATGGGTTAGTTTTTCAATAGTCTGTCCCTTGCTAACTTGTCATATGTTTTAGCTAGACTGCCTGCTGTTTCACGGTGTAAGCCACCAGATGGCTATAGAATCAAAGCTGAGCGCAGAGGAAATACAATGCCTTTACAAAGAGCCAGAAACCCAGAGGAAGAGAGCTTGCAGTTTCTCCTCTCTTGACTTCAAACACTAGCAGGTCTCTGGAGAAGATATTAAAAATGCCAAGAAACTGCTAGTATTCTACTCAGTGTATCTCCCTGGAGGAGCCACACTACATGCAGAATTCTGTGGAACCTTAGGGAAGAGAAAAGGGCTCAAATATTTTTAAGAAGGGTTTGTTGTTTTATAGAGACTGCTAGTTGTTTGAGGGAAATGAAAATCAGGTGAGTTTACTTCTGACTTTGAAGTTAGCCTCATTATCTTGTCTGCTTGGTAATAAAATTAAACGTGTTTCTGCTTATTAACAAAAACAAAAAACCAAAAAACAAAGAGTGCATTAATTATTTGCCACTTATTCACAGGAAGTAGACTATAGTTTTTCCTACACAGGCAATGAGAAAGAACCAGAAAACCTAAGGTTTTCTTTCCTCCAAATCAAAATGAAGTAGTTATTAAGTTTTTTCTTGGTAAGAACATTAAAAATGAAGACTGTGTACTATCCATTTCAAGGGAATAAATGGTTGATAGCCAGTTCTCAATTATCCACATTGTGTGTTATTTTTAGCCTGGGCTTTTATTCTTCCCATTCAGTTGCCATGATTAGAAAGAGAGGAATAGTAAACAGTTTTATAATTTCCTCCCTAAGGTGTGGGAAGGAAAAGCCAGAACTATAAGAAGAGAAAAACTGGTGCAGGAATTAAAATAGCATTAGCCAAGAATAAATGAGCAGCCCACACTCACTTCACTGCCATGCTTCTCACTCTAAGACAGTTTAAGGTTTAATTTTTTAAAAATTGTTGTAAGTGCAGTTTCATTCTAGAAGAAAGCCCTGAACTCTTTCTCATAGTTTTATCCATAAAGGAAGCAATATTTGCAAAAGAAATTATAAGAGAGGAGAAAGCAACTTCAAGGGGGTTCTCAAAACAACTAAGAAATGTTCATTTAGGGGTTACAAAAGCCAAGGATACTCATGGGCTTAACTCAGACAACAGCTTCACCAGCCCTCAGTTCATCACTGTCTTGCCAATGGATTTCAGCCCAGGGCAAGTTCACTACGGATTCAGTGTGACCAAAGAAATGACAGTAGAACGTTCTTAGGGTGCATACCCTTGGGGCTATACCCAACTTTATTCCCACAGTGGCAGGTCAGTCACTAACATCTCACCCTCTCAGAGCGAGTCTGCATGCAGCAAGCCAGTCTCTGCCTCTGGGCCTCTCAGCCCACACAGCTGACCTCTGGGCCTCTGTCCTCGGCACTGCCACCATTCTAGCCTCTGCTCTGCTCTTCTGCAACCTTGCAGCCGTGCCACCATGTCACCCAGAGCACTGGGCAGGGCTCTTTAGAGTCAGTAACAAAAACATTGTCCACATGTGTGTAGTGAGCTAGCCAGCCAGGGCCAGGTGAGAATCCTGGCCACGGGAACCTTCATTTTATCCACAATCACCCTCAGAAACCACACGGTGGAGTGCAGAGAAATCAAGAAACAGGAAACCAGAGAAAAGGTGTTCACTTCTCCTATTCAGGCTGGGAGGGAAGAATCTGGAAACCAAAGCAAAAGCTCTGCCTTTAACTTCTTTCCTTGGAATTCACTCCCCCATTCAGGCTGAAACAGGAAGAAATAGGATATTGAAAATGCTAACAAATGTTTCCACGGGAAACTGGGTTTAAACCTTGAAGCTCCAGGGTGTGAACCTACCCTACAGAGGGTTACTCAAACTTCAGCGTGCATATAAACAACTGGTGGTCTTGCTAAAATGCAGGTCCTGACTCAGTAGATCTGGGGTGGAGCCTGTGACTCTACATTTCTAGCAGGCTCCAGGTCAAGCTGATACTACTGGTCCACGGACTGAATGTTAAGTAAAAAGCTCCTAGGAAATTCTAGTTGAAAGATGAAGTACAAGAAGAATTTAACGAAAAGAATATTCAATTAAGCTGGAAGCCGTAGTGTTAACGCTTAATGGCAGAGGTAGCAAATGGTACCCTTGTTTAATTACATTTGAGGAGTATCTATTATAGTATGTAGTGTTTATATTTAATTGTGTAGATAAGGGTTTTTTTTTTTTTCTTATTTTAGGAGATGCGTAATTGAGAACCACTCTTACAACTTACTGCATCTATTTAAAAACCAAGCTATTTGGACTTTCAGTCGTTAGGGTAAAGCCTTGAGTAGCATTCTAATTGTGGGAAAATTCCCACAGGCCTTGGGAGGGAGCTGAGTTTTCAAACTTTAAGCATATAAAGGGACAATAACTTATAGTGACTTTAAAAACAGGAGTCTGTCAAGCCAAGGTTCCCAGACAATTCAGAGATGAAACTGAAGGGCAATATTAGCATTTTTAGCAGGATACTTATTTATTTCAGGGATTGTCTCACGCATTGCAGAAGCCTTCCTAATGGCATTAAACACGTTAGCACCTCCTAGGCACTGTGATAACCAAAACCACCATCACTGCACACACACATGCAACACACTTCTAAACTCCCTTGACAATTTATGTATATTATACACACACACACATAATCCTAATTACATATTAGTATAATTAGTATGTACATATATAATAATTTGGTACTGAACATGGCTAAGAATATTGCCTTGTCTGTCAGTTTGGGGTTTTCAGGAAGCAGATAAGACAAATTTCAAAGCTGAGGTTTACTGAGATTCACACTGTGAAAAATAAAGGAAGTGGAAGCAGGGCTGGGCAAGGAGAGCTTCCAAGTCTCAGCCCCACGCCACTGCAGGAGCTCCAGAGCCAGAGAGGCCTTTTGGCAGAGTTCCTACACAAGGCAGAGCAAGTCTACTGGGGTCCCCACAGCTGGGTGCTTGGCCGCTGATCTGGTGAAAGCCCAGCCTTAGTTTGGAAACTGGGGCCAGTTGTGAAGGTGCTACAGGCTCTCAGCTAACGGCAACCTGCATTGGAAGTTCTGAGTAGCACACTGCCGTGAAATTTGTCCCTGCTTAAGTCATTTATTTCACATGGGGTTAAACACTAGTTACCAAATAAAACTGAGAGTATTTTTTTCTTTTGGTACAAATGCAGGAGGAGGAGCTGCTGAAAGACATACCATTGAATACTAACAGCCAATGTCTTAATTACTTTTTTTTTAATGAAATAGTGTGGAAATAGCCTTGCAACAAAATGAGATCATGAACACATTTGTTAATGACTGGAGATGCCTGGCAGAAGATGAAGGCACCTTTGAGGACAAGACTGATACCCACCTGAGGGAGTACCAGTCCTTCACCGACCTTCACAGCCTAACTGAGAAAATGGTCACCTGCGTCTCCTGGCATCCGACTATCTATGGTGAGATGGAAATGACCGACTCCCTTTGGCGATTGGCGATGGCATTGAAGTAGTCTGTTGCTTTTATACGTACAGTTGCTAACCAGCTCCATTTCAATGGGACAGTGTCCATTTGCTGAGTACCTGTCCTGCCAAGCCCTTCCTGTGCCTGTCCTGGGTCCTCTGGGACACTCACTGCCGTCTCTACGAGGGCGAAGCAAAGCTCAACTCAGGGAAGTGACTGGCTCAGGTCATACAGCTCGTGCAGTGTTGAATCTGGATTTGCCCCAGGCCTGCTGGGCTCCCCACTTCATTCCCTCTGATATTTTGCCTCTCCTGTTGCCTGAGGAGAGATTGCTGCCTCCTTTAAAGTGCTAAGCTGCCAAAGGGGGTAGGAATGTGTGAAGGGGGAACTACGGAGAAAGAGAGGTCCTTGCCCTCTTTCTTCCTCCTTCCCACCTCCACCTTGGCCATTTCCTCACAAAAAAATGAACACTTTTTTTTCTTACTAAATCTTCAAAGTCACTGTTTATTTTACAGTAACAGTACATTGCAGTTTGGACCAGCTGCATTTCAACTGTTGAATTATCAACATGTGGTTACTGGCTCTGTTCTACACAGACTCTGTTGAACACAATGTAGAGCTCTGAAAAAATTCTTGGTCTCTTACAGAATATTTTTACTTGTTTTACCAAAACGGAAATTAATAATATTTATAGAAAAGCAAAAACTTAAAAACACTTTGCATGTACTGTTACTGAAGATTTTGACTCTGTGTTTCCATCAGGGCTCATGGCTGTGTCACTGGCTGTACGACTCTCCTTTGAAGACAGAGTCCACTTTTCTGGTAAATTATTGCTGCAGCCATCACTGATTCTTTTCTGGAGTTTCTCTGACCCCATTCATCCTCAGGTAATTGATGAGAACCATTCATATAGTCTAAAATTTTCAGATTCCACTTTCGTGTGTATTTTTAAGAGTTTTAACAGCAATATTTTTTATGCTCCATATTGTAAAACCTTATGAATTCCCCAATTCAGAATTTGTCATTATTCAATTTGAGAAAAGCTAAATTTACATTTAGTTAACTGATCAAAGGGTATTGAACAAATCAACATACTATTTTCAAAAAAGATTCTAAGAGGAATATTTTATCAATTGTAAAAGCAAACTCTATTATGGGCTTTATTTAAATACTAATTATTCAAATTCAAATAGACTTTGTTTCCATATGAATTTCCTTGATTTCCAGGGTTATAAAGTAGGTGCTAATAATTAGTAAAGTGCAGAAGACAATGGGGAGTGGTGGGGACTAAGACCCTAGAGAATGCACAGCCCATCTGTGGGGACAGCCACTCTTCAGCTCTCTTGTTGCCAGGTGGTCCCACTTGTCAAGAGAATCCAAAAAGCAGGAATTTTATATGAAATCTCCCGATTTTTAAATAGCTCAGCTCAAACCAAAACACACAATCCAAATAAAATAAGGCTGGGTTTGTCCCCCCAGGGTTCTATTCCATCATCTACTCAAGAAAAGTTCTGCTTATAGGGAGGGTGCTTTATAGTGTTAGATTAAGTTATTTCAATGTACATAAACATAGTATTTTTTCTTTAAAATATCATATAATTAAGTCATTCCCTAACAATCTCTAGATTCCTCTTTTTCCTTCTTCCCTAATTCACCTGAACTGAGGAGGTTTTAATGTAATTGATTCTAGGTACTTTAATTATTATAGACCCAGAGATCAAAATGACGGATCTCTACTTCTTTCTTGTCAGCCTACTTACTACAAAAATGGTGCCGTCCTATTGCTGGGGTCTAACATTTTCTAGTAGTCTAGGCAAATAGGAACAGGAAAGAAAGACCCTCCTTTTCTCTATTTTGATGAATAGCTTTAAAAAGACAAGTAGATAAATTCCTAAGGAAATAATACAAAGATTTATTTTGTCTTTGTTCTAGTCAAAACTGTAGGAGAATATTAAAAGATTTTATTTTTCAAAAATACAGGTTTCTCTAGAGCCCACAGAGTAATGATTAAACAAAGATGAGCCACCCCAATTCCAGTTTGAAAGCTTTAGCTCAGTGGTGGCAAAGCGATGGCCTCTGGGGCCCTTGTTTTTGGTCATTATATTTAAAGAAGAAAGGTAACCATGCAATTGTTTTGCCTGATGGCCACCCAGTCATGCAGGTGCTGTGTGTGGTTAATATACCCACTTCTTCACATTGGTATGTTCCTTGCAGGGCTTCCTCCCTACCTTCCAGGTACTTGAGTTTGTTCACCTTCTGGTTCTGTGTTACCTTAAAATTTGAAATATTATTGAAAGGAAAGGAGCGACACACAACAGCAATTTACCGGAGAGTTCCGCTTTATTAGGGAAAGGTGCTGGGTTATATAGGATGGGGCATAGGGTGATTGTGGTGTTACTTCTATGGGGCTGGTGGCTGTTGGCTAGGTGCTGGGATTGGGAGGGGGGCGAGAGGTGATTGGGCTTCAGGTGGCGCCGGCGGGAACCGAGGACCCCGAAAAGAAGCCGGAAGTTCGCCATCTTACTGGTGGGGACCCTTCAATTATCACAACCAATAGCTCAATCTTCTCTCATTCAATAAATGTTCACTCTGTGCCAAGCTAGATAGACAGCAGGGAACAAAACAGACAAATATCCTGCCCTCACAGAGTTTACACTCCACACTTTTCAGAAAGACTAGCCGCATAGTCTTTGTTTATTAAAAAACATATATAACATGCCCCCACAATGACCCATGGAGGGGAGGGGAGGGAGAAACCTGGGCCCCTTGAGACCACACCTGCTCTCATATGCATGGCTACCATCCACAATTAAATGCAGTAAAAGCAGCTTCCAGTCCAGAAGTACAATTCTGGGAATGAAGCCTCTGTGCATGTTTCTTATAGCTAGTTATTAAATGAGCTAGTTATTAAATTTTGGCTGTTTTAATATTATTTTCTAGCTATGATCTTAATAAGTTTTCTCACTTCTTAAATTTGTGGGGTTGACTTTAGTTAATGCTGGAGAGCCCAGACGACATCTTCTGTTTCCAGTTCTGTCCAAGTAACCCTAATATCATTGCTGGAGGCTGCATAAATGGACAGGTACTTATGGATTTTTTCCATCTATTTATTAATTTAGATAGCATTCTATAATACATTTTTGATTGGTGATTTTTGTAACTGAAGGACTCAACTTAGCAGAAGGAAAGCATGCCAGTTATATGCCAGTCACCATGCCAGGAACTGGGGTACAAAGATGTGGTATTGGGGTTCAAGGTACCAAGGGATAACCCAGTTGTGATAACTGGAACAAAACCAGCTCAAGTCTATTTGTGTCGCTGTGATAGAACCATACCTTGTACAAGATTCTACAGAAAAACAAAACCCAAAAGCATTAATAGCTTTTGGTTCAAGAGGGCTCTTCTGAAATTTCTGAGGGGATAGGAGTCAGGGAGTGATCAAGAATTTAAACAGAAATTCACTGGAAAAACATATCTACCATTAAATTTATGTATGTATAATTTGACATTTGCTTTTTTCATCTTTCCCTTTTAACTTACCTAATTTATGTAAAATTTAGATCTTATCTTCTAATTACCTGTTTCTCCAATAAAGTAAAACAGAATCTTAAAGCTGTTTTATGAACAAAGTTTAAACTCACTGTGATTCAGTGAGTTTGGCCATTTCATGGTCATGATTTTTTTTCATGGTATATAATCTTTTTTTGTGTGGCTAGGAAATATTCCTTATGGTTAAAATTTGTATATCTATAGCATCCGTGCCCATTTATCCAAAACCAAACAAGGGCAAACAAATTTTCTCCTTTAGTTTTGTTTAACAATAACTGGTGGTGTCATAATGATGACTCAGAGCCCATTCCTTAATTCCTGAAAATCCTGAAATGCTTTTTTCACTCACTATGATGAAGGTAATATGACTTTGTTTCAGAATATTTTAGAAAAGCAAATGATGAAAAGAAAATCATTCACAATTCTGTAATTCTGATGTTAACATTTTAGGGTACTGAAATGGCTTTTAATCCTTGAAAATTAATCAAATGTAGGGTTGCGTGTTCTATTTTGTTCTGATTTTTCCAAAAATGATCATCAGTGTATATGCAAATTTGGAGTTAGCCATAATATTAATTTAAGTAGAAATAATCATTTTCCAGTCTTTTTGAATAGTTGGGTATTTGTACTTGATTCTGGAGAGCAAGTTGTTTTCTTGTGAGTTTAAAGTAGCTGTTCCCACTATCATAGCACATTCCCAAAGACAGAGGAACTCTTCCCACAGCAGAGGGAATTTCATGATGTTTACCTTGGATTTTGAAAAATAATAGCATGTATTGGCACAAGCACAGAAATCAAAGTGCTGAAAACACTTTTACAGAGAAGAAAATATTCAATTTTATACGTGCTTTAAAAGTTCCTAAGTTACAGGCTATTCTGAATTACATACTTTTATAATAAACCAGTGATCCAGAGAGTAAAAAAATAAATAAAAAAGTTGCTGACTTACTTAAAATGTAGGCTAAAATGTGGTAATCTCCCAAGGTGACTGATGTATCAGAGTATATACCAATCCTGTTAGGTTTTAAGAAATCTCTAAGACCCAATTAGCTGTTTCCTGATGATACATTATAATAACATTAATTTCTGTTTTAGATTGTCATGTGGGACATTACTGCATATGCAGACCGCATAGAAAACATCAAGACAGGTGGTAGTGGAAGTAAAAAAGTCACACTCAAGGTTAGCTTTTTATAGCTTTTCACTTTCATATTGTTCCATTCAGGAGTTTGTTAAAAAGTACATACATAACAGTTACCAAGCTAAACAAAGACTCAATAGAGAAACAAAAAGTGCTGTTTCTCAAGCATTCACCTCTATTTGTAGACATGTTCTGAATCACTTTTATGTAAATACTTGATTAAAAACACAACAAAGCATGTTGCATGGTCTGTCCCAGGGTGTTAAACTCTTTTTTGTTGTTATTATTGTTAAATAAAATAATGGGAACAAGTGACTTGCCTAAAGTGATGTCACTGAAAAAGCACTGGATGGAAGGGCCATGTACCCAGGCTCTGGATCCTTCTGTTTTGCTTTGTTTTTATACTCCACAAATGAGTGAAATAATTTGGTATTTGTCTTTCTCTTCCTGGCGTATTTCACTGAGCATAATACCTTCTAGATCCATCCATGTTGTTGCAAATGGCAGGATTTATTTTCTTTTTATGGCTGAATAATATTCCATTATGTGTAAGCATCTTCTTTATCTATTCATCTGTTGATGGACACTTAGGTTGCTTCCATATCTTGGCTATTGTAAATAGTGCTGCGATAAACATAGGGGTGCATATGTCTTTTTGAATCAGGGATCTTGTTTTCTTCAGGTAAATTCCTTGGAGAGGAATTACTGGGTCAAATGGTATTTCTATTTTTAGTTTCTTGAAGAACCTCCATACTGCTTTCCAGAATTGCTGAACCAATTTACATTCCACCAATAGTGTAGATGGGTTCCCCTGTCTCTGCATCCTCACCAGCATTTGCCATTCCTTGTCTTTCGGATGTTGACCATCCTAACTGGTGTGAGGTGATATTTCATTGTGGTTTTCTCTGATGATTAGTGATGTGGAGCATCTTTTCATGTGCCTGTTGGCCATCTGTATTTCTTCTTTGGAAAAATGTCTGTTTCAGATCCCCTGCCCATTTTTTAATCAAGTTATTTGATTTTTGATTGTTGAGACATATGAGTTCTTTATGTATTTTAGATGTTAACCCCTTATCAGATAAATTGTTTACAAATATATTCTCCTATACTGTAGGATGACTTTTTGTTCTGTTGATGCTTTCCTTTGCTATACAGAAGCTTTTTAGTTTCATGTAGTCCCATGTATTCATATTTGCTTTTGTTTCCCTTGCTCAAGGAGATGTGTTCAGGAAAAAGTTGCTCATGTTTATATTCAGTAAATTTTTGCCCATGTTGTCATCTAAGAGTTTTATGGTTTCATAACTTACTCCATTTTGAGTTTACTTTTCTGTATGGAGATAGACAATAATCCAGTTTCATTCTCTTACATGTAGCTGTCCAGATTTCCCAGCACCAGTTGTTGAAGAGGCTGTCTTTTCCCCACTGTGTATCCATGGCTCCTTTATCATATATTAATTGGCCATATATATGTGGGTTTATATCTTGGCTCTCTATTCCATTCCGTTGATCTGTGGGTCTGTACTTGTTCCCGTACCAAATTGTTTGTTTACTGTGGCTCTGTAGTAGAGATTGAAATTAGGGAACATCATCCCCCCAGCTTTGCTCTTCTTTCTCAGGATTGCTTTAGCTACTTGGGATCTTTTGTGGTTCCATATGAATTTTAGAACTATTTGTTCTAATCCATTGAAGAATGCTGTTGGTATTTTGATAGCAGTTGTATTGAACCTGTAGATTACTTGGGTAGGATGGTCATTTTGACAATATTAATTCTTCCTATCCATGAGCATGGGATGTATTTCCATTTATTGGTGTCTTCTTTAATTTCTTTCCTGAGTGTCTCGTAGTTTTTCAGAATAAAGGTCTTTCACCACTAGGTATTTTATTCTCCAATTGTAAATGGAGTTGTTGTCCTGATTTCTCTTTCTGCAAATTCGTTGTTAGTATGTAGGAATATAACAGATATCTGTGTATTAATTTTGTATCCTGCAACTTTTCTGAATTCAGTTTTCTAATAGTTTTTTGTTGAAGTCTTTAGAGTTTTCTATGTATAATATCATGTCATCTGCAAACAGTGACAATTTAACTTCTGCCTTACCAATTTGGATGCCTTTTATCTCTGTCTTGTCTGATAGCCGTGGCTGGGACTTACAGTACTATGTTGAAAAAAGTGGTGAGAATGGATATCCTTGTTTTATTTCCAATCTTAGAGGAAAAGTTTTCAACTTTTTGCTATTAAGATGGTGTTGGCTTTGGGTCTGTCATATATGGCCTCTATTATGTTGAGGTATGTACCATCTATACCCATTTTGTTAAGTTTTATCGATGTTGAATTTTGTCAAATTCTTTTTCAGCATCTATTGAGATGATCATATGATTTTTGTCATTTTTGTTGATGTAATGTATGTTATTGATTTACAAATATTGTACCATCCTTGCATCCCTGAAATAAATCCTAGTTGGTCATGATGGATGATCTTTTTGATATATTTTTGAATTCAGTTTCCTAATATTTTGTTGAGAATTTTTGCATCTATGTTCATCAGGGATATTGTTCTATAATTTTCTTTTTTGTGATATCAGGTCTGATTTTGTTATGAGAGTGATGCTGGCCTCATAGAATGAGTTTGGAAGTACTTTTACTTTTTGGAATACTTTAAGAAGAATGGGTATTATCTCTTCTTTAAATGTTTGATAAAATTCATCCATGAAGCCATCTGGACCAGTAGTTTTGTTCTTAGGTAGTTTTTTGATTAACAGTTTATTTCATTGCTGGTAATTGGTCTGTTCAGATTTTCTGTTTCTTCCTGGTCTTAGAAGGTTGTATTTTTCTAGAAAGTTGTCCATTTCTTCTAGGTTGCCCAATTTATTGCCATATAATTTTTCATAGTATTCTCTAATAATTCTTTGTATTTCTGTGGTGTCTGTTTTGATTATTCCTTTTTTGTTTCTGATTCTTTTTATGCATGTACTCTCTCTCTTTTTCTTAAAATGTCTTGCTCGCTGTTCATCTATTTTGTTTATTTTCTCAAAGAACCAGCTCCTGGTTTCATTGATTCTTTCTATTGTTTATTCTTCTCAATTTTATCTCTTCTCTGATCTTTGTTATTTACCTCCTTCTACTGACTTTGGGCCTCATTTGTTCTTCTTTCTCTTGTTTCTTTAATTGTGAGTTCAGACTGTTTACTTGAGATTGTTCTTATTTCTTTAGATAAGCCTGTATTGCTTTATATTTCCCTCTTAGAACTGCCTTTGCTCCATTGCACAGGTTTTAGGCTGTTGAGTTGTTGTTTTCATTTGACTCCATATCTTGCTTGATCTCTGTTTTAATTTGATCATTGATCCCTTCATTATTTAGGAGCATGTTGTTAAGCCTCCATATGTTTGTGAGCCTTTTTGTTTTCTTTGTGTAATTTATTTCTAGTTTCATGTCATTATGATCTGAGAAACTGCTTGATACAATTTCAATCTTATTGAATTTATTGAGACTCTTTTAGTGGCCTAGTATGTGATCTACTCTGGAAAACATTCCATGTACACTTGATAAGAATGTGTATCCTGCTGCTTTTGGGTGGAATATTCTACAGATATCTGTTCGGTCCATCTATTCTAATGTACTGTTCAGTGTTTTTGTTTCCTCACTTATTTTCCGTATGGTTGATCTGTCTATTATTGTGAGTGGTATGTTAAAGTCTCCTAAAATGTATGTGTTGCACTCTATTTCCTCCTTTAATTCTGTTAGTATGTATTTTACATATTTAGGTGCTCCTATATTGGATGCATATTCATAATAGTTATATCCTCTTTTTACACTGACCCCTTTATCATTATGTAGTATCCTTTTTTGTTTCCTGTTACTTTCTTTGTTTTGAAATATATTTTTTCTGATATAAGTACTGCTACTCCTATTTTTTTCTTCCTATTATTTGCATGAAATATCTTTTTCCATCCCTTCACTTTTAGTCTTTGTATGTCTTGGGTCTGAAATGAGTCTCTTGTAGACAGCATATAGATGGGCCTTGTTTTTTTTATCCATTCTGCCACATGATGTCTTTTGACTGATGTGTTTAGTCCCTTTACATTTAAGGTGATTATTGATAGATAACTATTTATTGCCATTGTAGGCTTTAGATTTATGGTTATCAAGGTTCAAGAATAGCTCCCTTACTATCTAACACTCTACATTAAATCACTGATTACTCTATTTCAAACACAATCTTAAGGTACTTTTTATTCCCCCTTCTTCTTCTTCTTCCTCCTCCACACTTTACTTATTAGGTGTCATATTTTGTACTCTTTGTGTATCCCTCGACTGGTTTTGTGAGTAGTTGATTTAATTTTGTACTTGCTTGGTAATTTATTGGTCTACTACCTTTATTGTGGGTTCGTTTTCTCTGGTGACAGCTATTTAGCTTTAGGAACATTTCCATCTAAAGCAGTTTCTTTAACATATCCTGTAGGACTGGCTTAGTGGTGATGAATTCCTTCAACTTTTGTTTATCTGAAAATTGTTTAATCCCTTCTTCAAAGTTAAATGATAATCTGGCCAGGCAGAATATTCTTGGTTGAAGGTCCTTCTATTTCATTACATTAAATGTATCATGCCACTCCCTCTGGCCTGTAATGTTTGTGCTGAGAAGTCTGCTGATAGCCTGATAGGGTTTCCTTTATAAGTAACTTTTTTCTCTCTCTGGCTTCTTTCAACACTCACACCTTGCCCTTGATCTTTGCCATTTTAATTATATGTCTTGGTGTTGTCTTCCTAAGGTTCCTTTTGTTAGGGGAACTCTGGGCATCCATGCCCTGAGTGTCTATTTCCTTCCCCAGATTTGGGAAGTTTTCAACAATTATTTCCTTTAAAAGACTTTCTATCCCTTTGTCTCTCTCTTCTTTTTCTGGTACCCCCTATAATGCGAATGTAGTTCTATTTGGATCTGTCACACAGCTCTATTATTATTCTTTCATTCCTAGAGATCCTTTTTTCTTCAGTTTTTCAGCTTCATTGTTTTCTTGCTCCCTAATTTCCAGACTGCTTACAACTTCTTCAACCTGTGAAAGCCAGCTCTTAATTTTCTCCATTGTATTTTTCATTTCAGATAACTGTATTCTTCAGCTCTGAGTGACTCTTTTGGAGGTCTTCGATCTTTTTGTTGGGGTCCTCCCTGAGATCTTGAACATTTTTCTGTAGATCCACGAGCATGTTTATGACTTTTACTTTGAAGTCTTTATCAAGAAGATGGGTGATTTTGGTTTCACTCAGCCCTCTTTCTGGTGTTTTGTCTTGTAGTTTGGACCAAATTCCCATCTCTTCATTTTTTTTTAGTGTTTCCTGTGAAATAATAGCTTTATGTAGGATGTCCCTTCTAGTGCCCAGAAGCTCAATTTCCTGTGCAGGAGCCCCAGCTGTTGGCATGCAGATGAGTGGGGCACCTTTCTGTCTGGCTTTTAGTGATCTGATTTCAGGTGGTCTGTGTGGGCCATCAGCTTATCCTGCAAACAGGGAGAATACTCAGGGCTGCCCCTCTGGAGTTACTGTTGGTGGAGCCACCCTCCTCCCAGCCTGCAGCAATGACAGGGGCCACAGGTAAGTGGGGCCAGCACCTGCCAGAAGAAAGGAGTTCCCAGGGCTGGCTCCTGCAGTATTTCCCTGGCTGGGCTGAAACAGGGCCAAGAAAGCTGGGATGGTCTTCCTCCTCCTTCCCAGTTACAAAGCCTGCCTCCACTACCAGGTCAAGTGGGCTGAGCATGCAGGGAGGAGACTCAGTGCTGCACTGCTAGAGCTGCAGTGGGTTGAGCTGCACTTTGTCCAGCCTGCAGCTATGGTGGGGGGCTTCAGGCAAGTGGGACAGGCACCTGCTGGGAAGAAGGAGCTCCCAGGGGCTGGCTCCTGCAGACAGTTCCCCAACTACCCTGAAACAGGGCTGAGAAAGCTGGGACAGTCTCCCCCTGCCAACCCAGGAGCAAAGTCTGATTTCACTGCCAACCAACAGGCTGTGCACCCCAGGGAGGAGCCTAGAAGCTGCATTGCCAGCAAGGGGGATGGAGTGTCTGAAGCTCATAAGAGTTCCTAACCTGTTGGATTGAGGGTGGGTTGGGGAGATATTGTCCACCTGACCCTTCTCCTGAGCAGAAAGCTCTGTGTAATCCTTGCCTCTCTGGTGCCCCTCTCACTGCTTTCTTCTGGAGTTGAAGTCTTTCAAACTGCCTGCTTTGCTTTCTTCTCAAGGGTTGCTGGTAGAGCATACCTGTAAGTGGCTGGAATCTCAGTCTCTCTGAGTATTCCACCTATCTTTGTTGTCCAGCCCTACTTATCACCAGAGCACCATGTAATGTGGGTTCGTATTCCCAGGGCAGATCTCCAGGGCCAGATGTTTAGCAGTCCTGGGCTTTTACTCCATCCCTGCTCTGTTCCTCTTCCTCCCACCTGTGGCTTAATATAGGGGGAGGGCTTGGGTCCCCTAGAAATGGCTTTGCTACTTTACCCTTTACTGTGAGGTCTTCTTTTCATCCCCAGATGTGTAGTCAGTTCTACAGTCTTGAGGTCATTTTCAGGTTTAGTTTTACTTGCTGTATTTTCATGTTCCATGTGGTTTGGAGAGGAAGTTTCTGCCTTGCCTTCTTACACTGCCATCTTTTTCCCAGAATCCTTTCAGGCTCTGGATCATGGTCCTGCGAGTTTGGATATGTCCCCTCACCTCAGCAAGCATCGATTTTCTCATGTATAAAATGAAGGGGTTACAATCCTTCTGTATAATAATATACTATGGTTTCGTGACACTGTGGATTCTACCACAAGGGCTGGGAAAAGATTCCTTGGCTCCCAAACTCTACTTACCCACCATATTGAACATCTTTACCTCCAGTCTTCATTCAGCCTGGACACCATCAGTTCTCCTATAGCAAACACAATGCAATGTGATCCTCTGTGCACACAATGAAAAATTCCTTCAAAAATGAATCTCACTGATTCTTTAGGGAGTGGCTCAATAATTCTTGTTAAGTTTATATATAAAATCTTAAGACTAAACTGAGGAGGAGAGAAGATAGTCTTATTACCTAAATAAATGATACATAGAAATGCTAATTTTTTTCCTTGACCTGCTATTTTTCCAAGTTAATTTTAATTAGAATGGCGAGTTAAGTATGTATTCTTTCATCAGCTCTCTGAAATTCGCATATAACTTTCTTTCAACATTTTTCCAGCCCATGTTTCTTCTTGAACCAGAGAGTAATAAAGAAGCAATGTATATCAGACACTGTGCAGTCTCCTCAATAGAAAGTGGTCATAAGAAAGTAATTACAGATATACATTGGCTGTCTGACACCTTTGAGGTGAGTTTTGATGCCTTCATAGTTTTCTTCTGCACTGTAAATTTTCAGATGATTTTATTCAAATACAATGTTTCCAGTGAACAATTCATTTACATTTGAATTGTGAAATAACCAGGATATAGGCATCAAACAGTTGTGTCACTATTGCCAGACCAACATCTGACTTTAGGATAAGAATAATGCCAATGTTTCACCTTCTATGGTTTATAAACCACTAAAAAATGTAGGTGGAGTCCACATTGATATAATATAATAGTTATTAACCATATTATGTGAGAATGTAAATTCTATGAAGTTTGGGACATTCCTATTTTTTTTTGAGGGGGTTATTATTTTTTTATTAAGATATCATTGATATACAATCTTATGCTCAGATTTCACATGAGCAACATTGTGGTTACTACATTCCCCCTATTATCAAGCCCCCACCACGTACCCCATTATAATCACTTCCCATCAACATAGTAAGATCCTACTTGTCTTCTCTGTGCTATACTGCCTTCCTCATGCCCCCCTATATTATGTGTGCTAATCATGATGCCCCTTAATCCCCTTATCCCTCCCTTCCTACCCACCCTCCCCAGTCACTTTCTCTTCAGTAACTGTTAGTCCATTCTTGGGTTCTGTGAGTCTACTGCTGTTTTGTTCCAAGAAGCTCTGTTTCAATTCCATTTCGGCTCACATCACACACACAAATTAATTCAGATGATCATAAACTTAAATAAAAATGAATCACAGAAAAGACACAATAAATCAAAATAGAATATAGTATTTCTGGATTGTGAGTTTTCTAAGCTAATTAGTGTTGAAAAATTCAAAACATATATATGTAAATTTCTAAATTAAAAAATAAAGAACAAATAACAAAATGGAGAAAAATATGTGTCAAATATGGTAAATACAAAATTTCCTGTATATAAGCAAAAGACATATACTGAAAAATATATAGTAGGTAAACATGAAAATCATTCAGCCTTTCTAACATCAAAGAAAATAATAATAAAGTAACAATAATGTGCTATTTTGAACCTGTTTAATTTTTTTGAAGGAGAATTTCAAATACTACTCTAGTGTTAAAGAAGATGAAATGGTGAAACCAGTAAACTAACATTGATGGTTCCAATATAAAATCTTAAGAATATAGTCAGTCAATGGTGGTTCTTCATTTTCATCCAAATTTTCAAACCTTTTGATGAGTAATTCAAGTTTTGGGAATTCATACCAAGAAATAATCTGTGTCTCAAGATACAAAAATTACATGTTACACCTTAAGAAAACATATCAAAGTATATCCATAAAAGAAGATTGGAAAAGAATAATATAAAGTAGAATTATGTTTGATTTTAAAACCTTCTGTTTTCTAAACTGTTGAAATATTATTATGGGGTTTTAAAATAATCTTTAAACCATAAAACTCCAGAGCAAGTACACTTTTGGGGTCTCACACTTCATACAACAGGAAAGGCTCAGTAGAAAGAGGCGACACGGATCTGTGTTGTTTCTCAGATCCAAGTGGAAGTTGGCAGCAGTCACCAACTTCCACTTGTTTCTTACTTCTTGTTTGTTACCAAGAAGGTAGGAAATTGGGAAAAGTCATGTTTCTCTATTGATTCAAGAGTGGCACCTTCATAGGTTGCACAAAACCTTCCACCTAGTTTGAGAGCTAGCTGACTGGGATTTTGGACCTCTAGGACCCCGTGGAGCCGTTAACCATCTCGGACTCCCTCAGTGTGCTAGCAGAGTCAGGCACTGATTACTGAAGGAATGCTTGCTGTTATTATCTAATCTAACACTGAGCTTCTTTTCTATTGATCTTACCTGGTTAACACTCACAAAACTTCTCTGTTCCACAATTAATAGCAAAAAACCATAACAACCTACATTTCTAATAATAATGGATAATGCAATTATGATACATCTTTTATATATTATAAAACTATTAGAATGACTTATGAGTACACAAGTGTTCAAATTTTATTAACTGAAAAATCTCAGTACAGAAGTTTATAAGCATGCTAATTAAAATTATGTAAAAATGTTTGAAAGAAGACTGGAAAACTAGTTAAGGCGGAATTAAATTTGATTTTAAAGCCTTCTATTTTCCAAATTTCTGTGATAGTATTATTTTTTTTAATAAAAATTTAGAGGAAAATCTGAAAGGTAACAATCTATGAGAAAAAAGGCATTACTGTTCTAGATACACAGAACTTGCTTTTTTGTTTTTAAAAAATAGATTGACAGACTGGGTTCTGTCTTTGAGAATCGAAGTGGATTGTGCTGTCAACTTGTCACGTGTTCGGCGGATTGGTATGTCCTTGTTTAGTGTTCTCGGCCATAATTTCAACATATGCAAGGGAGTTCTGGGGAGGTTCCCCCACTCCTCAAGCAGTTCCAGGTCACCGGCTGCGTGTCCTACAATTCACCAGTTTTCCCAATTCTGACACCATCTACACAGAGATAGCATGAAATCCCACAGTTTAAGGGCTCAGTCCCACAAGATTACCCTCCAATCCACTTTAGATGCAAGTGGATACGGGAACTTCAACCAGTTGCCTGTAAATCAGAGGTTCCTTCGACCCACTCCTCAGGTTTGCTTACTTTGCTAAAGTGGCTCACAGAACTCAGAAAAACATTGCCCTACTAGATTACTGGGTTATTATAAAAGGATATAACTCAGGAGCAGTCAGACAGAAGAGATACACACAGGGCAAGGCATGGGGAAGGGGCGTGGAGCTTCCAGGTCCTCTGCAGATGCACCCCTCTGGGCGCCTCCACGTGTTCACCAAAGATTGACAGTTCTGCCCCTCTGATATGCTCCCTTGGCAACCAGCCCCAGTCCTTCCTAATTTCCAAAGTCACCTCATTAATATAACAAAAGACACCTTGTCACTCTTCACACTTAAGATATTCCAAAGATTTTAGAAGCTCTGCCCTAGAAATGGGGATGAAGAATGAATTTATATCTTATTATAATTCACAGTATCACTGTTATTTTTATCAATGTTATTTTTAACATTATCCAATATGTTTTCATAAAACAAATTCTTTATTCTTAGATGCTTTATTCTTAGATGCTTCTAAAATCATTGCCTTTCTCTGATCTTAAATAATCTTTGTTGTAGCAATTAAACCTAATATAACTAAAGGACAGAATATTACAGACTGTTGCTGGTTAAAAAAATATTTTTATAGGTACAAATATGTTGTAGAAAGAATTAAGTAGGTTTCATGGTTGATAATGTATAACATTATCTATAGTTGTTCTCCTTTTTCACTTACTCATATTTGTAAGTTTACAATGTGCTGTTTACATTCAGTTTTGTCTTATAATTACAAAAATTACAACATTTAATTTGGAAGTGTTCTTTTTAAAAGTGAAAAAGTTGTACATTTTTTTGTGGTAAATGTGATTTAATGACTACAAAATCCTCATCTGCAATCAAAAGTATCATTTGCATACAGTAAACAGGCCTTTATAAACTTGCCATTTAAATTAAAGATGTCTTGTTTACATCACTACTTCATTCAGAGTGTTCTCTGCTTTCTAGCATTTTAGAATTACTGGAAGTTTAGAGCACCTCTTCTTTCCCCACCCTTTATGCTCCCCTCTCTGCTGATGTGGAGACTGGTCAGGAAAAAGAACAGAGGGCAGAGAAGGAAAATGACTTGTACAGCATCACACAGCTACATTTTGGCATATTTTGTACACATTTGGCACACAGCTACAAACAGGCACATTTTGGCCCCAAGGCACCCAGCTCATGTCCAAATCACTATTTCTTTATAGGCTGCAATAGGTAGCCTTTTGGCTAGTCAATGTCAATTTACCACAATTTTAAAATGAGCAGAATCTGTTTCTTTTTCTCAGTGCAAATAAAATAAAGATAATAATTAGGAGGAAAGTTGATCCACAGCTTAATAATGCAGTTAGAAGTGCAGGCCAGAACACAAAAAGCCCTTAATTTTTGCAATGCTCGCTCTTACCACCTCCATAGCTTAATTTCTGGCTTTTCCAGGATATATTGGCAAATAGATTGTGGAGGCATCACAAACAATTTATCTAGAATAAGCCTCAAAGTATCAGCACTTATAAGTACTAAGGATGTTTTTGTTTTATTTGGAATAACGATCTTTGAATCCTACTTTTTTGCCAGAATGGTCTTTAGATATTTCTCATAAAGTTACTGACCCATAATCCATGGGTGGGGCTCTTTGGCCAGAAAAAGTTGTACATTTTATTGCATATTTTTAAAAAGTTTTATAAACCATTTGGTAACTATGTTGGAGAATATCTTTTAAATAGAATTAATCTCCCAATTTATAGAACTAAAAATTTATAATGAAGTAGGAAATATGAAGAATGTTTATCACCCAAATACTGGCAAAACTTTTTATTCCAAATAGCTTTGATCCCAATAGAAATAATGACACCTTAAGCCATAGAAGCTAACAGCATCAAAAGCAGTTGTGGAACAGCAAGCAAAGGCATAAGTAACATTAACACCAACCATGGGCAAGGGATGGAGGCAATATGATTAATCCTGTGGGCATGTATTGGGTAAGGTTCTGTGATTGCAAGCAACAGAAATCGACTATGCCTACTTGAAGGGGACAAATTAAATTTATGGGAAATAAATGTATTGGAGGTTTATGCCAATACTACTAAGTGCTTTAATAGGTTAGTTATTCTTATAACTATTTTTACATTAACAACAACCCTGAAAAATACTTATAGATAGAGGAAATGAGGATCTGAAAGTTAATATATTATCCATCTATTTATAGTGAGTTATATATGTAACTGTTTACCATAGCTAGGTATATACTATATGAATCACTATTACTATATATATACTATAGTAATGATGTTACTCAATCAAAGGAAATGCTGATTCAGGCCTCAGAAAGAGCCCAGTGGATTCGATGGCAGGAATGAATGGCCAGCCTCTTCCATGTGAATGAGTCAGTGCCAACCATCGCGTCATTGTTGAGGTTTCATACTGACAGGACAGTCTGACTTACTTCTGTTACGTTGTGAATGGACCCCTTTGGATAGAGAAGGAATGTCAGAGAAACTTGAATGTTCCAACCTGACTGCAGGCAGCTGGGAGAGGCAGGTCCCCAGAAAACAATTAGAATGTTCTTCCTAAATAAAAGGGGGTGGTGGTGGTGGTGAGGAGATTGCTGCCCAGGTAAAAACAACACATGGCACCAATAAGGCCATATGAAACACTGAGCAACAATTAAGATTATGTTACAATGTCATGAAGAAATGCTTGTGGTATGATGTTGATTATAAACAACAGAACACAAAACAATACTGTTCTTCTATAGCCTTGGAGAACATATAGAAGCACTGAACAGACTTAAAATAGTACATGTTTTATATTGAAGACACAGGTCCTTGATTATATTCTGGAATATTCTGGAAATAATTCCTTCAAACGTTAACATTTTTTTTTAATTTTTGCTTTTTTTAATACATAGAAGATAACTTTTACTTATATGGAAAACTCATAGTCCTAACATTTATACTTCAGCCAAACTAAGGTTCTTATAAGCAATATAGAATAAGATAAAATAAGGTTCCATTAATTAAGAATATGTGGCTGATTTCTGCATTAAGTTTAACTGAATTTATCTGTTTCTAGCAAAATCATTTCATTAATTCATTAATTCATAATCAATTCATTACTTAAGGCAAATTAATGCTACAAATGAGATTCAAGAAGAGTCTTGTAATTTGGAAAATAGTTTTAAACTAGCTATAATTATATTTTAAAACAGTTCTTATTATCTTATTGTGGTATTCTCCCAAGGATTTATTTTTTAACAGCTTAAAAATTATTAATATTTTCATTGATTTTAACTATTCACTAAGAAGAATAAATGATTGATATTAAGTAATTCACATGAATGAAAGTTTTGTTAGTCTTACTTGAGTTATCTGA